ACCTCCATTGGGAGATACTACTTCTCCGTATCAGGTATAATTCTCTCCTACTCCTTTTGGTTCAGATCTGGTTTAGTTTAAGGTTCAAGAATGATCCTTGAAAATATGATTTTCTAAATAGGGAATGTGATTCCCAGTTGAAGGGAGAGAAAATTTTTTTGAAATTCGCCCCTTATTCCGCAATCTTTGGGCGTCCATATGATGGATCTCTCAACCCTTCACTTTAAGGGCTGTCAATGGTTCAGGTCTACCCGACTGGCCCCAATTGACCGAACCATTTATAAAGGATCCAGCTCCATGATTATGTTGAAATAAATAATTGGGTCGGTTCCGATTCTCACCCCTCCCGAATGGATTCATGCCCAAAACCGATTATTTTGTTAGCCATATATATTATTTCCTTCATTTTTTTATAATTTCTCTCTTATCATAGGTTTAAAGTGTCGAATATGATAGATAAATAAATAAAGGTGTCTAACGTTTTAACATATAAGTAACTTAGTATTTTTCTATCAATTTTATTAACGATATATCATTAAAGTTTAGCTTTTAGTTTGCGATTTAAATAAGAAAAGTGGTTTTTTTTTTAGCTTAAATGGTTCGGTTTTAAACCTATGTTATTGTTTCAACCTAAATTTTAAGTTAAAATTGACAGGTTGGGTCTAAGGTTTTGTCCCAATTAATGATCTACTCGGGAGTGCTTCTACCTAGACCGGACCCGGATCCCACCCGTTCACATCCCTATCTTGAATGGTGGCCAATTTCCAGTCGAGCCACCACTCAAAGATTGAAGAGAAATAGTCAATCACTTATCCAAAGGAATTAAAAGAAAATGGAAGTCCTTTAAGCAAGGGATGTGTCAGATATACTTACATTATTAACGGAAACCGGAAACCATAGTATGGCGCAATATAGTCGGAATGCCCTCCCCAAAAGTAGAAACGCCTTGAGAAATCCAAAACTACACATTTAACTAGAGCAAATTAGTAAGCCATACACCCAAAAGATGACACAAAATGAAGTGGAGAGTTGAGAAGCTTACACCGAAGATTGGACCAGCTTCCTCAAAGTAAAGTCATGACAGCTTGCACAGCTTGCCTGCAAATCGAGCATTCCTCGTGCCTGCCCATAGGAACCAAGGATATTATGGCTACCTCCACAACCGGTAAACTTATATTCCAATAGTGTTAAAATCATGGAATGTAGACATTCTACAACAAACACATACCTGTGCCGCTTCCGAATCTGTATCACTTCCGAGTCTCCTTTCCGTGCCCACGTCATTCACCTGTCAAGAAAATCAAATCAGAAATCGGTGGAGAAGAAAAGGTTTAAGAGTGTGTACAGAAGAAATGGGTTGGTGTGGCTTATTCTGACATCCAGCGTTTGCGAGGCCATGGCTGGTTGCTGCAACAATTCGAACGGTTGAATCAACTCCGCGAACGCAATTTCCTGAAAGCAGAAATGCCGGAATATGCCAGCCAAGAGGAGTATTAAAAAATTAAGAAAAGTTACATGCACAACGACAGGAATAGAGCAATTAGTAACCCACACACCCACAAGAAACATCCAGTCACTCATCTTACGGATTTAAAAGATAAAAGAAGTCAATTAAGCTAGGGATGTGTCATATATTTACATTGATATCGAAAATCGGAATCATAGGTAAGGCGCAGGAGTCGGAAAGCCCATCCCC